TGTCAGCTATTATTTGATAGTGGTTAGGTTTCCTGATCAGTGGTGTATAATTTGTAATATGATGTACAGGTTCTAAATTTTAATGGCAGGCAGCTTAGTATGCTTTATAGCATACATTCTATTCAAATGTTTCTACAAATTTTCTTGCGATATTTTGACATTAAAAAATAAGTTTATTGAAGTTTTTCCATATTTTTGAGCTTAAACTCTTAGAGTGTTTATAATCTGCTTCACAAGTATTACCATTGCAAAAGAAAAAAAAAAAAAAAAAAAAAAAAAATGTATTTATTTTCTGTATGGCCTGATAAATGCTGCTTTCGAGAGAATTGCCATTTAATGAGGTAGCACTTTGGTATATAAGATTATTAAGTAAAAGTTAGTTATCGAGTGCAAGTTGATGATTTGGGTTACTTTTTTTTAAAAAAAAGTCATCAGACTAGTATTTATAAGTCATCTAATATTATTAACATATCAAAAGAAAACACATTTTTGCAATTTAAAATGTAAAGTTTAATTATTAAATAAGGATTATATGATATAGTAAAAAAAGAAACATTTCTTTGCAAGAAATTTTATAAATTTTTTGTGTCTTTGTTTTCTTCCACCTATACAGCAATCAGTTGAATTAAAAAAAAAAAAAAAAAAAAAAATCAAAGATTTGTGCAGTGACCATGATCATGATAATTAATAGTTGAAGTTATTTCATTGTTAAGCTTATTTTCATTACACTGAAGCTTCAACTATTGATCATAATAATCAATAGTTGAAGCTTCAAAGTAATGAAAATAAGAGTGTAATTCTGTTTTCACTGTTAAAGATAACAAAGAGTTATTGAAAACAGAAAATGTGACCAACACAGAAATATTGCATAATCTTGTTGATTTTGTTGATTCAATCTATAAAACAAATTTGCCACAGCAGTAACATTATCCAATAACAAAAGTAAGGTTACCAGCATAAAATTATTATCTAACAACAAAACTGCTGAATTTAATATGGTCCAGATGGGTAATATGTCTTCCAAGTTACTGTTCTAATGATGTAATAAACGGAGCAATTTGAAAGCAGTGAACTTAATTATTTATATCTCATTTTTTAAAAATATATTTAATTGAGAGAATTTATCAGTTGATAGTATTTATGCAACTAGCTTTTCAGATAGGGACTTTTGACATTATAACTATTTAATATTTTGAGAACAGGTCAGAAATTTATTCTTGAATATTTTTGAATTTGTGTTATTTTATATGAAATTTTATTAGGAATTAAGAGTTACTTTATAATTTTACATACGTAAACATAGCATACACAAAGTACATTCATTATGTATGAATAGGATAGAATATGTATCTCTGAATATTTGCATAGATTCTGCACACTTTAAAACTTTACAAACTTTTTTTTATCACGGCTCTCTTAAAAATACTTGATCATATGGTATATCCCTTCCATTTTATAAAATACAACAAACACAAAAATTTTTAGTACTAAAAAATTTAAGATACACTCTTATACACAAGAAAAAACAAATAACAATATTTTATTATTGTCGCTTAATGAGATGGATGTGCTTGCCTATTAGCACAAAGTTTATCAAATCTTGGTGTCATTGATGAGATAGCTACATGAAGCTCCTTTTCTGCAACCAGACAAACACAATATTTCGATTTTATTGCAGCTAATGCAGAAAATCCTGTTTCACATAAAAAAGATGTTGCGAACACCAGCAATACTTTTAAAGCTTTATTTGACAAAATATTATATTCCCTCTTAATATCTAGCCAAAATTGAATTAGAGATACATTCTGAAATTTTTGTTTGAAAGAAGTATCACAAGATAGTTCAATCAAGTTTTCTTTCTCAATACTTGTTAATTCAAATTCGTCATCTCCTTCATCGATAAATGGATTCTGTATCCACGCATATTTTGTAAAATCAAGATTGTCAAAATAATTCCAAAAATGAATTAATGAACCATACAAGTGTTCAACAAATAGATTTTTGTTTGCCTCTGTATTAACTTGGGCGCATAAATTTAAAAGTGAAAACATTTCGAACCTATTTTTTTCCAAATTTGTCTTCCATATCTCCATTTTTTTAATGAATGCTTTCACTTTATCTTTTGAATCAATAAATGCATTTGTGGCCCTTGCATCAATTTATTCAAAACACTCAATTTTCCAAAAATTCCACCAAATAGGTAAGTTGAATAATAAAATTATCATCCCTAAACATATTTGCATCCTCCTCATGATATTTTTTCGAGAAAAAATTGCAATTTCTTCTTTGAGTTCAAGTACCCTCTGAATCACTCTTGTGCGAGATCGCCAGTGCACTTCATAATAATACAAAAGCGAGATGTAAGCAGCTTCCATATCTTCACACAGCTTTGCAAATAACCTAACTTTTATTGGACTGTTTTTTATGTAGTTTACAACTTTCGTTACTTTTGTATTTACAACTTTCGTTACTTTTGTAAAAACGTAGTTAAGTTCCTCACACATATTTTTTTATACGAGAACTGCTCTGCGGAGCATGCAGTGCGTCCAGAGAACATCGGGTGTTTTCCTTTTAATTAGTGCTTGAAGGCCAGTTTTGTGTCGTGACATTGACTGTGCACCGTCTGTACAAAGCCCGAGGCAGTTATTCCACAATATGCCATTCTCATCAAAAAATTGTCGATTATATTAAAAATTTCACTGGATGTGGCTTTGCAAAATAATATATCTTCAATTATATGATTGTCTTGAACATATCGAACATATGCAATTAAATGTGCTCTTTAGCTACATCCGTTGCTTCAGCTACTTATAAGGTGAATTTTGAAATGTGCATCTGAGAAACTAATTGATCGCAAAGATTGTCAGATATATCATCGATTCTTCTGCCAACAGTGTTATCAGCAAATGGTATTTGTCGCAACTGTTTTGCATATGATTCGCCAAACATTGTTTTGACCACATCAATAGCTGCTGGCAAAACTAATGTTTCTCCTATTGTGTGTGTTTTTTTTTTACACTTCGCGATTCTGTAAGATAATAAGTACGATGCTAGTAATACATTTTATGGAATATGAACTGTTTTTTTGAATGTTTGCTTTTGTTTAGTGAACTCATCATCCAATTTTCTGTGAAAAAATTCTTGGGACTTGCCAACGTTTTGAGAATGCATAGTTTCAATGTGGCGTTTTAATTTTCTGGGTCTTATACTATCAGCAGCCAAAACTTTCGAACGAAACAAACACATTGGTTTTTCCACATTATCAGTAATAACACTTGTAAATCTGAACGATAAATAAGACGACTCGTATTTTCTTGTCTCGGGAGTTCTTCCTTCCTGATTCCTACTACTTGTGCCAACATCAGATTCTTCAGTATTAGAGGATTTTCTCATATAACCAGTCAAGAACTTCTCCATTTCTCTAAAAATATTAGGATAATTAATTTATTGTTCTTAAAAAATTCACCTTAATTAAATTACTTACTATTGTGATCAGTGAATAATTAGGTACGTCAAAATAAAATAAGAAACACAATCTAACACTGCTGAGTTAAACTGAAGTCAATATTGTCTTGATTTTTAGAGAGATACTGGTCGGCCAAGCAGCATAGTAATTAATTGTACCTATATGTTACGTATTGTATTAGCTGCACATGCACCAACCCTGGCTAACATTCGCGCCTCCCCTTAGGGTCCCCTTAGGTCCATGCCTCCCGGTTTGGAAAACGCAGATTTAAAGTACATACTGCATTTGGAAAGTTTGAACTTTAGCTACAAATTTATGTATTATTATATGTGTTTGAACAAAGTTATAAATTTATGTATTATCAAAATAAATCTCTAGGCTTGTTTTCCACATGTTACTGGAACAGAGTTTAATTTTTATTGCTAAATTTTCTGTCCTAAGAGACTGAATGGAGTTGTATTTATTTAAGGTCGTATTTGGTATTGTTTTAGAAGATTTGTACAGTCAAAAGTCGTTAATTCAGACACCCATAATCCGGAATGATCTATAAACCGGACCTCAAAGCTAAAAACTTTCTGCGCATGCGCCGCGTTAGCACACGCGTGCGCGTAAGACCTTGACTACTGCGCATATGCGTGTGCGCAAGTGCAGAATACGTTTTCGCCTGCGCGTTTAATGTATAACGGATGGTGTAAGCTAAAATTATCTAATTATCTATTTCACTTAATGTTAATGATTGCGTTGTTTCTTAATCTTCGAATTGGATCCCGCTATTATTTTTTGCAGACTGTAGAGCAATTTTATAAAAGAAACTAGAACTTTCGATTATGTCAATAGAATTTCCGATGCGGAACTTCCAAAGGATCTACAAAACGAAAGTATGTTTCGATTGTCCAACACAAAAAAAAGTGGAATTGCTGCAAAAAATGGATAAAGAATGAAGAAGTGACAGAGAGGTTATGAAAACGAAAAAATTCGATTGACAGTTAGTCGGTATTCTCGGCACAGCAATTAACGGGACTTGAACAGCGGAACTTTTAACTGAACAAGAAATTATGTCTGTTTATAGAATTAAAGAGAAAGTATTATATCACATAAAATGAAGCAACTTAAACAACTTACATTGAAAGAAATGTTTAATAAAGTAAACAAATAAATATTAAGCTTTTTTTTTTTGTAAATTTTGATACCCTTTAGATCATAATTGTTCTTTATTTCATAAATTACGATTTCATATTTTTAATTTTAGAATTTCTGCATGCCATCTTACGAGATTTAAACTGATGATCTATAATCTGGAAAAATCGATAAACCGGAATCGCCAAAGTCCCGACGAGTCCGGATTAACGACTTTTGACTGTACTTTATAAATAAAAAATTTAAATTAAGCTTGACCATTGCATTGAATTCTAAAATCACATTAAATTAGAGCTGTAATGGGATACTTAACCTTTTCCCTTTAAATAATATAAGTTAATGAAATTTAAAAAAAAAAAAAAAACATTTATATATATTAAAAATATTTATTTTTCAGATTTGTAACTGAATTCTACAACCAGCCTAAACGAGGGTATGGAATGAATGTTGTTAATGTATTTAGAGCTTTAAAAGAGACACATTTTGAAGATGTTTTCTTACCTGCAACATCACAGTTTAATGGTTCTGGATCCTATGGTAATGGTGCTGCTATGAGAATTGCTCCAATTGCACTGTTTGGGAGTAAAAAAGGAGAAGATTTCATTAGGGTAATTTAATCATTAAGATTTAGAAAGTTTGTAGATGCCAACTCTTTCTTTTTTTTCGACACATCTCTCACCCAGTTTTTAACTTCCAACCTTTATTAAAGATTTTTTTTTTTCAGCAATAAAATTAAATTGTGATAATAAAATTTTCAGAGTTTTAAGTTTCATTATTGAATCTTTTAAATTGTGCAAATTTTAGTCTGCCACGCTTCATAATTTTTCTAATTAATTTTTATTCGATATGAATTGTCCTAATCTACTTGAGACATTTATAGATCTTTATAGGAAGACTGAACAAAATGTATATTTCTGTTTAATATTGTTTTATTCAATAGACACTTAGTCCATTTTGGAAAAGGAAATGTAAAAAATATGCATAGCCTTTCACCAGGATTCAAATTGAGGGCCTATTGATTGCTAGTCAGATGGGCCCCTAATTACACCACTGAAGTGCAAGAGGCCTTGGACCTAGTTGCCAAATTATCATCTGCTGTATTTTAGTTGCACTATTGTAGAGCAATTTTTTTTATTTATTAGAGGTAGGAGATGTAATAAATGGGCATTAATCTTGCTGCGATTGGAACCTCAAACCTCCTGATTGCTAGTTGACTGTGCTTCCAATTACACCATAAAGACACATGGTAAGAAGTGAGAAAGTACCTTACAAATACGTAGTACATTACTAATTTTATTCACATAATAATAGGTACATATATTATTAATTTTATTTTTACTGTGTTTGAAAGTACTCTGGATAAACTGAAGCCTTTCTTCCCTACTTAAAATTTTCTGTATGAGAAAATTATAAAATGAAATTAGCTAAAGAACATAACATTTAGGATATGTAATTAATATATTTTTTTGTAGAATCACAATGTAAGTAGTTGAATGAACTCGATCATTCACTACAAACAAATTCAAATCAATTTTGAGTTATTCAAAATGCAACTCGAAAACTCCTGGTTTTTGGAAGGAGACCCTCCTGGTTTTTCGTATTTCAAGTTAGGCAACTATGGAAAATATATATTAAATTTTCAAAATTTTAAGGGATTACGTGAATACTAATGAGAATTTTATAGTTAAATACAGTCAAAAGTCGTTAATCCGGACTCGTCGGGACTTGGCGATTCGGATATAGATTTTTTGGATTATAGATCATCATTAAATCTGTAAGATGGCATGCAGAAATTTAAAATTAAAAATATGAAACCTAATTATGAAATAAAGAACAATTATAATCTAAAGGGATCATTTACAAAAAAAAAAAAAAAAAAAAAAAGATATTATTTGTACTTTATTTAAACATTTCTTTCAATGTAAGTTGTTTAAGTGCTTCATTTTGTGATATACATTCTTAATTCTATAACAGACACAATTTCTTGTTCGTACAAAGTTCCGGTTCAAGTCTCGTTATTGTGCCGAGAATACCGACTAACTTGTCAATCGAAATTTTTTGTTTCCACTAACCTCTCTGTTACATTCTTCATGTCTTTATCCATTTTTGCAGCAATTCCACTTTTTGTTTGTTGGACATCGAAACATACTTTCGTTTGTAGATCCTTTGGGAGCTCCAAAATCGGAAATTCTATTTGACATAATCGAAAGTTCAAGTTTACTTTATAAAAATTGCTCTTACAGTCCGCAAAAAATAATAAGCCGGATCCAATTCGAAGATTAAGGAACAACGCAATCATCAGCATTAACTGAAATGGATAATTTTAGATTATACCGTCCGTTATACATAAAACGCGCACGCGAAAACGTATTCTGCGCTTGCGCACACGCATATGAAAGTGGTAAATGGTCTTACGCGCACGCGTAAACACTTATGCGCATGTGTCAACGCGGCGCATGCACAGAAAGTTTTCAGCTTTGAGGTCTGGATTATAGATCATGCCGGATTATGGGTGTCCGAATTAACGACTTTTGACTGTATTATAAATCAAAGTGAAGTTAGGTTGTTTTATTTTTAAATTTTTGAGTCAATGAGGGCTGGTAATTTTTTCCACATTCTCTATTTCTCTTGATTGAAGAGGCTTGCTGCAGTAAACTTATGATTTTCGTCATTTGTAATGTAAATACGGGCACGTTTCTATTAGATATTCCACCACAATACCTTAGGCAGAGATAGTCCTTGCATACTTTGATATAATCTGGTATCCAATCCATTTCAATTGTAAATTTTTACTTCATGTATAGAAATAAAAAAGATTAAAAATAATTGTAAAAATATTTATTCTGTTACCCTTAGATATTTATTTTGGATATTTGAACAACTAAATTTTTACATCAGTGCCCCATTATAATTAAATTTAAAAGTTAATGACTTGGATATCATGATCAGGGTATTTCATGCAATACCTTCAATCAAAATATTAGGACAACATAGCCATGTAGATACATCTACATGGCTATGTTCTATGGCTTGTTTTTTGTATTTCTGAAATACAAAAAACAAGACAGCAGCAACAGTATATTTGTATTGTGTCATTTAAAAATACATAGTAAGTAAATCTTTTGAAATCTTTAGGTTAAATTTCTCTGTGAATACCCTAAAAAATAAAGAAGAAGAAGAAAGAATATACAGTCAGGAAAGGATAGTATAATTGTAAATAATGATCTGAATCTAACTGGATTTTTAAGCTAATACTTGTGTTTCTATTAGATATTCCACCACAATACCTTAGGCAGAGATAGTCCTTGCATACTTTGATATAATCTGGTATCCAATCCATTTCAATTGTAAATTTTTACTTCATGTATAGAAATAAAAAAGATTAAAAATAATTGTAAAAATATTTATTCTGTTTACCCATTAGATATTTATTTTGGATATTTGAACAACTAAATTTTTACATCAGTGCCCCATTATAATTAAATTTTAAAAGTTAATGTACTTGGATATCATGATCAGGGTATTCATGCAATACCTTCAATCAAAATATTAGGACAACATAGCCATGTAGATACATCTACATGGCTATGTTCTATGGCTTGTTTTTTTGTATTTCTGAAATACAAAAAACAAGACAGCAGCAACAGAAGTATTTTGTAGTTGTGTCATTTAAAAATACATATTAAGTAAATCTTTTGAAATCTTTTAGGTTAAATTTCTCTGTGAATACCCTAAAAAATAAAGAAGAAGAAGAAGAATATACAGTCAGGAAGGATAGTCATAATTGTAATATAATGATCTGAATCATAACTGGATTTTTAAGCTAATACTTGTGGTTATCAGCTTGGTGTGTCAATTTTGAAAATGTAAAATATCTTCATTTTCAATATTTTCAAGTTTCACAATGTGAAGTGGTGATTTTGTGTGTGCGCAATAAAATGAACGCATCATTTTTTTTTCTCAAATAGGGTTTCTTTTCAAATGCATTTCGGTAAAATATTATTTGTGTGTGTAATTGCTGACCCTGTCTTATTTGTGTGTGTATCGTTACGTAAATTTTTTCTGCATGGTTAAAATATTTATTGTTATCATGGTAAAATATCAATAGTGTATCCTCATGCTACAATATTTGTGCTGTTAAGTGTTTATTAATTAAAGTGAAAATTATCTATCAGTATGCCCGACGATATTCCACCAGAGCCACAAATCACACGCGTTGCGGTGAAGCCACCGCCTTTCTGGAAAAATAATCCTTCATTGTGGTTCGCTCAGATCGAAGCACAATTTTCTATCGCTCGCATTAGTGAGGATTCTACAAAATTCAACCATGTAGTTGCAGCAATTGAGTCTGATATTCTGAATTCAGTGCATGACTTAATTCTCAAACCACCTGATTGTGATAAATACTCCAAACTGAAACAGCGGCTCATTGAAATCTATTCAGAAAGTGAATCTTCAAAAATACGTACTTTACTACAAGGACTTGAACTTGGAGATCAGCGACCTTCATACTTGCTGTACACGAATGCGTGATCTGGCAGGAGGAAGCCATTTTAGTGACGACTTGTTGAAGTCACTATGGCTTTCGCGTCTCCCTAATAACATACAAATAATTCTTGCTGCTTCCAATGAAGATCTAACCCGTTTAGCAGCAATGGCTGACAAAATTAATGAACTTGTTACTCCAGCTTATGTCAGTGCTGCTAATGCTGCACCTTCCAGTTCATCCCTCGAACAAACAAGTGGCTGAATTGACAAAAAAGTATCTGAACTCTCTACAAGTCTTCATGCTTCGATCGCATGGGCCCACTATATTTCAAGCAAGTCTCTGTCACAATATGACCATACAAAGACCCCAAGTGGCATATGTTTTATATAATTTGGCTTCGCAAGTGTGCGATAATTGTGTCGCTGATGCCTTGTCTCGGGTAAACAATATCAACCTCACTACCCCAGATTTCTCTGAAATTGCAAAAGCTCAATTGCATGACGAGGAACTCAAGAACCTAATCTCAAATCCACAAACCTCCCTTCAGTTACAACCGCTGCACGTTGATCCAACGCTTAAAATTTACTGTGGCATAGAGAACAATAGAATACATCCCTATATTCCTGTCAATTTTAGACGTGAAGTGTTTAATGCCTTGCACAATTTGGCACATCCTGGAATCCGTGCCACCAAAAAGCTGATCGCAGACAGATTTGTCTGGCCAGCAATGAATCAAGACATCACAGAATGGACTCGTTCATGTATTAGATGTCAACGGTGTAAAGTATCCCGTCACACTCACAGCCCCATTCAACAATTTAACCTTCCAGCAAGACGCTTTGATCATGTGCACTTAGACTTGGTTGGCCCATTGCCTCCTTCAAATGGTTACACTTACCTCCTCACTTGTATTGATCGGTACACAAGATGGCCTGAAGCCATTCCTATTGAAAATATATCCGCTGAAACTGTAGCTCGAGCATTCATCTCCCAGTGGCTTTCAAGATTTGGCATGCCTACCACCATCACTACTGACCAAGGCCGACAATTTCAATGTCACTTGTTCGCATCCCTCACCTCTCTTCTTGGCATTCGCCATATTCGCACAACACCATACCATCCATCTGGAAATGGGATGGTGGAACGC